TGCCAGGCAGGGCCCGAGTGATCAAGGCGGCTGCCACGGGAGGACCCGGCTCCGAACGGGCAGCTGGGGGCGCCCTTTCGAGGAAGGGCCTGTGGCCTACGGGGAGCCGCAGGCTGAACATGAAGGGCGGAGTCCCCGGAGAGGAGCTGGCCCTCACTCCCCACTCCCCTGTTCCCCCTTTACCCCAGGCCGCAGCCTGGGATCCCCCAGGGACTCCCCGGAACCATCGCTTTCCCCATGGACTTGCCTGGGGATTCCAGGTGAGAGCGCACCCCGCCTGCCTGCCTGTCTTGAGCCCGGGACACCGGGATCCTGGCGGCTGTACAGAGCCAACAACCGCCTCAGACAACTGTCTTCTTTCACCCTTCAGCCCTTCTAGACAGTCAAGCCTGTGCCGTCAGCCCCTAACTCGAGCACTATGGGAAGCCAAGAGCCCGAAAAGACCGAGGCTGCAGCCCCTAGGGACCCCTTCGTCCTTGGAAAAGGCCTCTCGGCGCGTCCTGGCCGTAGTCCTGGAAGATGTCGTGGCTACAAACAGTGTGAGCCTTTAAACTGAAAGCCCCCTCCCCTTTCCCTACACCCCCCACCCCACCACCCGGCTCAGTACTAAAGTCAGACCAGATCTCTTAAACCAACGTTCAAAGCAGTCTCCTTAATGCAAGACTTCTGCATGGTTCTGGGGTAACTCCTATGTCTGTCCTTCCCGCACTCTCCACTGAGCTGGAACCATATTCTACTAAGTATGAGAAACTCTTTTGACTACCCTGCCCCCTGGGAAGTTTGCTGGTGGTGTCTTTGGCTACATGACAGAGATGAGGAAAATGTCACCTTTTTTCCATTTCTTCAGAGCCTGGATTAGATTAGATTACTTACATTTCACACCTGTAGCTCCTGACTATAATACCTCACCCCTAATTCAGACCAAATCACTTCCTTTAGGAATCTGAGTGAATTCTAGCCAAAATCTGTCTCCTCTGTGAGTAGGGACACTGAGACACAGAAGATCCTGTCCACTTGGCCTCATTCCATTACTTTGCTCTTTGTTGTTGGTTTGTCTTACTAAGACAGGGTCTCACTTTTTAGCCCAGGCTGGCCTGGAACTCTCAATCCTTTTGTATTAGCCTTGCAAGTGCTGGGATTATAGGCATGAGCCCAGGTTGGCTTTCTTTTAACAACTCTTCCTCTCTTAGGTCCCCCTGGCATACCAAGAGGACACTGCCAGGCCAATGAATCGCAACAATCATCAGGACTCTGTCTACAGTCAGTCACCTGCGTTACCACCCCAGCAAGTCAAGTGGTCCTTCCAAGCCAGGTGAGTGTGACAGGGAAGGAAATAAGCTGAGAACACAGCTGAGCCCACTGATGCTCCTGTTCTTTCTCTAGACCTCCTGACCCACTGCATTTGTGCCGAGAACCCTTGAGCCGGACCCACCAGTCCTCTCCCACCTTGAAGATGAGATCAAGGACAGCCCCTGGCCCAGCAGAGAGCCCTTCACAAAAGATGGACCAGACCACCCAACCTACCCTGGTGGTGGTACTGGAAGACATTGCCAGCCCCAGACAACCAGCTGAGGTATAAGAAAGTATGGTGAAGATGTCTGGGTCCAGCTAAGGCAAGCATGAGGCTGGGGCGGATTTCTGTAAACGTAGGACAACAGAATTTTTTTTAATAACTTATTTATTTTTATTTTATGTACATTGATTGGTGTTTTGCCTGCGTGTATGTCTGTGTGAGGGCATTAGATCCCCTGAAGCAGTTGGGTGCTGGGAATTGAACGTGGGTCCTCTGAAAGAATAGCAGTGCCTCTTTTTTTGTTGTTGGGTTTTTTTTGTTTTGTTTTTTGGTTTTTTGAGACAGGGTTTATCTGTGTCGCTTTCGAGCCTATCCTGGCACTCACTCTGGAGCCCAGGCTGGCCTCGAACTCCCAGAGATCCTCCTGCCTCTGCCTCCCGAGCGCTGGAATTAAAGGCGTGCGCCACCAACGCTCGGCTATAGCAGTGCCTCTTAACCACTGAGCCATCTCTCTAGCCTGCCCCCCCTCCTTTTTTTTCTTCGAGATGGGGTTTTTCTACATAACAGCCCTGGCTGTCCTGGAACTTGTATTGTAACTAGGCTGGCCTCGAACTCAGAGAGATCCACCTGCCTCTGCCTCCTGAGCGCTGGGATTAAAGGTGTGCACTACCACCCCACCCCCACTTTTTGAGACAGGTTTCACTATGACCTATATCTTGCTATGTAGACCACGCTGACCCAATTTATAGCCTGCCTCTACCTTTCAAGTGTTGGGATAAAGGCTTGTGCCACCGCCCCAATGACAACATTTTATGTGATAGACACTACCTGAATAAAGGGTATAAGAAAAAAATCTTTTCTATACAGCCAAGTAGATATCTGGGGAATAAGTCAGGACATGGAGAGCTGGGGCAGCCAAAGATGGCTTCTTGCTTTTTCAAAACACCTCCTCTGTTTATATCCAGGGTTTTGCTGAAGATGGGCCCAACTTCATTGTTCCAGCACAAAGGTGAGAGGGCTAGGAGAAGGGATTATCAAAGCCGATTATCATCCAAATGTATAGAGCTGGGGGCATTGGGTTTACTTATCTAACCCTTCCTTATAGTACCTTCAGAAGCCTTAAGGGCCAGGGGAAGCACTGGCCAAAGAGGGATCTGGATTTGGAAGCACCACCAACTCTTACTTTGTCCTTTCACGCCAGAGCTGAGCCTATGACAAAAGTTCATCAGCCAGTGCCTACACCCAGAGAACTAGAACCTCCATTCCAACCGTCCACTCTGCCTGCTGACCCTCCAGAGAGCCCACTACCAGGTAAGGACTTGAATGAAGGAATGAGACTCAAAAGTCTCCAGGAGCCAACATGAGCCTGAAACATCAGGGGCAGAACTATGGGTGGGGCTTCACCCTGACCCAGGGCAGATCAGGGTGTACAAAATGTGATTTGGGGCTCAGGAACTTGAGAAGGTCTTATTTTGCTTTGCAATACTGGGGATCAAATCCAGGGCTTAGACGTGTTAGGCAATCCTAATTACAGAACTTTAGGAGCACAGTTACTCCTCTAGAGAGAAGTTAGTGTTTGGGGGAAGAGACTGAGGCTTGTGAGGTGGTGCTTAAATCACCTGGGGGTGAGGAATGCCCGCCTGTGACCCTCTCCTTTCCTCAGCCCCAGATCCTGTTCTGGAGGTCCCATTGACCCCAACACCGTCCAGCCTTTTACGCCCCCGTCTCAGTCCCTGGGGCTTGGCCCCTCTCTTCCGTTCCGTCCGATCCAAGCTTGAGAGCTTCGCTGACATCTTCCTCACGCCTAACAAAGCACCACAGCCTCCACCCCCATCACCTCCCATGAAATTGGAGTTGAAGATTGCTATCTCAGAGGCTGAGCAGTCCAGGGCTACTGAGAGAATTGCATCTGTCAGCCCCCGGCCCCCTATCCGCCAGTGGCGGACTCAGGACAATTCCCTAGCACCTGTCTCTAAGTTATCTCTGGGCCGAAGCTACTCCTGCCCTGATCTGGGGCCCCCTGGCCCAGGTAGCTGTACCTGGCCTCCTGTTCCATCCCAGCCAAGCCAGTCCAGGCCCCGGAGACATACTGTGGGTTGTGGGGAGATGGCCCGGACCCCACCACCTCCTCGGCCCTGTCTCCGGAAAGAGGTCTTCCCTCTTGGAGGTGTGGGAGCCTCACCTTCTCTCACTACATCTTGCTCATCCACTGCATCCACTTCCTTCTTCTGCGAACCAGCAGAACACAGGTAGTGCTCTCAATAAACCCTTCTGGAAGCCTTGGCCACAGCCTGAGCCTGGCCTCCTTTGCTCAGTAACCAGTGACAGAAGACGGGTGTATTGCTGTGTATTTCCTTGTCCCTGACTGTTGACCATCTCTGCAGATTGGGTTCAACCAAGGGGAAGGAGTTAAAAGCCTCAAAGGACAAGGTGTTTTCTGACCCAGAGACCAAGGTAATGAGCAAAGAGACAGGAGTCAGCTGAGGCCTGAGCCCATGCCTTTCTTTCACCCTCTGCCCCATTTTTGCAGACCATGGGAAAAGTTTCTAGATTCAGAATACGGAGGACTCCTGTCCGTCTACAGCCAAACCTTACACCAATGGGGCTGCCTCGACCAATCAGGTGAGAGGCTCAGAGAGCAGGGGAACCTGCCTTGACCAATTAGGTGATAACTCCTATCCCTGAAGGAGTTACCTTGTCTCCTTGTCTCCTCTCAGAGATTGTTGTCCAGCCTGGAAAATTAAGTTTAGCATCGACGTGGCTTGTGCTTAGAACTTCCTCAGATGTCACTTCCAACTCTTGCATGGCCCAGAAACTGAAATTCAGTCAGACTTTACATATACCTTCTCAGGACCTCCTTGCTCAAGGTTTCTCAGTGCCCTCTGCTTTTTGCTTTAGATTGAACAAGAAGGAGTTCACTTTGGAAGAAATTTATACCAATAAGAATTACCAATCACCCACAACTAGAAGGTGAGAAACTTGGAAGGTCTGAGGGCAATAGAGGGCTGTTTGAACCATGGAACATGCTGGTAAACACCTCTTCTCCCTGCCTGGCCCAGGACCTTTGAGACCATCTTTGAGGAACCACGGGAGCGCAATGGGACTCTGATTTTTACCAGCTCTAGGAAACTCCGACGGGCTGTAGAATTTCGGGACAGTAGCATGCCTCGATCCCGTCGACCATCACGAGGGGTCCGCACTGCAGCCAGCAGGACCCTTACTCCCAACTTGGCACCCAGCCAGGATGTGGGACCTCTGCTGCAAGAACGGCTGAAGGAACTAGATGCCTTGCTCCTGGAGGAGGAGATAGATAGGGAACACCCCTGTCAACTCTAGGAGCTCCAACTGTTCATTCATACATCCTTCAGGGAGGGGGAGAATCTCTGGATCAACTGTATTTTTTTCTCTATATTTCTATAAAGTTTTCAATATGTTTGTGATTCCTTTGTCTTCAGCAGAGTTTGAGATCAACTAGTTATACTAGCTGATGTTTCTGTTCGTCACCAAAGGAGTAGAAAAAGGGGACAGTACAAGAGAAGAAAAAAAGGGTTGCAGCAGACAAGGGGTCAGAGAGTGGCCATTAGAGATTCCAACTGCACTCTCAACCCCTGGCAGTGCTAGGGGATCAAACCTAGACTCCTGTACACACTACCTCTCTCAAACTCTTTTATGGGGTGATATTTATGAAGGAAAAAAACAAACAAAAAATGCCAATACAAGACTGAATTACATCATAGAAATTAAAAGGCTTTGGAATAGACTAAGGCCTTGATCAAGATGGTCTTGAATTCTTCCCAGATGCTGTAATCACCCACCTAGGACAACCTATCATAGATACTTGGCTGGTACAAGCCCTATTAGGGAATTTATCAACAAGCAAACAAAGTGAGTTTGTCGAGAAAATATCCATGTTATAGTAACAGCTAGGGCCAATGAACCAGCTAGCTGATAAAAAATTCTTGGCACATAAGCCTTGTTACCAGAACCCCAACACCCACAAAAAAAGCTGAAAGGGAGAAGACAACACAAAGTTGTCCTCGGGCCTCAGCATGCATGTCCCCTATATACGTCATGTCCATACCCCACACAATAATGATATATTTAACATTTAAACACAAACAGATCAGTCACATAAAGGCTTCGGACTGTGGCCAGAGCCCTCACTCTGGAGCTAGAATCCTGGCTGTTGGAATATAGACGCCCTTAATAGAACAAATGGCAAATATTTACCTCGAACTTAATACCAAGTGAATTAGTGTGAAAGAGTACTCCGCACACGAGTGCAAGGTGTTTTTTATTGAGCTCTGGAAGGGAAGACCATCCCTCGAACCCCGCAGAAACAGAAGCTCGGTCTCCACCCCACCGCGGACCCTCGCCCAGCGAGCCTCTGTGCGCCGAGGCGCCGCAGTAGAGCGATCCGCCCAAAGGCCGACAGGAGGTGCTGCCGCCACGCGCCTGCGCGAAATGCCAACAGGCAGAAAGGCAGAAGACCCTACCCGTCAGAGAAGCGCACCTTGGACTGCCAGCCCAACGCCTCCCAGAGGCCGGCGGCCCTCCCACTCCAGGCACCGCCTCCCGGCGCCTCGCCTCGTCGCCGTCAGGAGGCGGCCAATGAACGGAGAGCAGGAAGAGGCGGTGGCCTAAGGGGCCGCTCCAAACACATACTTCGGACCAGTCGAGTCACAAGACTTGGGGAGGGCGGGGCTAATCTGACGACCCAATCCAAGATGTGAGGGCGGTTACATCCGGCACTCCCGCGACTTTGACTCCGCCCTTCGCATTGACGTCTACTCACCAACCTATAAACGCCTGAGCCACGGAGGGAGGGGGGAGGAGGCGGAGAGTGGGAGGAGGCGGAGAGAGGAAGGAGGCGTTGGCTGAGGAGGAAGAGGGAGGAGGGGCAGGGAAGTTCTGGCGAAGGAGAGGCCGAAGACTCCGAAGAAGACAACAGGCGGTTACAGTGGAGTTCTTCGCTGCCCAGCGGCCTTTCTGGATCCTTCTAGACACAAGTCAGTCAGGGACGGAGGAAAGGAGGAAGAGTCTTTTATGTCGGAGGACAGGGAAAGAAGCTCCATCCGTCACCGTTGCCTCACATCCGGGGCTTTGGAAGACAGGCTCCGCCCCCTTGCACCTTTCAAGGCTACCGGAGGCGTAGACTTCTTTAAATCTCCTTAAAGGGGTGGGCACCGAACTCGGCCGACTCCAACTCCAGCCTTAAAGGGGAAACCTGCCGAAGCTGACAAACACAACTCCTGTTGGAAGAACTGGGGCAAGAGGAGTTTTCCTACCTCCTGTCCCACGCCAGAAGTTCTTTAAATTCGTCTTAAAGGGGAAGTGGCAGCTTGGGGAGGACTAGAAACTTAACTGCGATTTCTTAAAAGGGACGGCCTGCTGTTTGAAAGCCTCTGGACTCTTTAAAGGGGTGGCCTCTTTCAGCCGGAGGACTTAAGACACTTTTAAAGGGGAGGTCGCGCTTTCCGCCCCTTTTAAAGGGGTGGCCCTTCCTCTTCCTCTGGGAGA